TACAACCAAAGGATTATCCCGCTGACTCCCAAAAACAATTCCATGTCCCACAGTACCCTTTAAGTACCGAAAGATCCACTTGACTGCATCCCAATATTGCTTACCAGGTTTAGACATGTACTTACAAACTTGACTAACAGCATGAGCTAAATCAGGACGAGTACATACCATCGCATACATCAAGCAGCCAACAGCATTAGAATACGGAACCTTTGCCATATTTTCAGCTTCCTTATCTGTCTTAGGGCACTGTTCTGATGAGAGCTTAAAGTGATTCGCCAATGGAGTGCTAACTGGTTTCGCGCTGCTCATCGCAAACCTTTCTAGCATTTTCTCAACATAACCCCATTGAGATAGCCGCAGTTTCCTTGAGTCTCTGTCCCTGCAAATTTCCATTCCAAGAATTTTCTTTGCAGCACCTAAATCTTTCATATCAAATTCCTGACTCAATAAAGTTTTCAAACCGATAACATCATCCATGTTCTTCGCAGCAATCAACATATCATCAACATACAGTAATAGAAAAATAAAAGAACCATCATCAAGGCTCTTAACATAGACACAACAATCATACTCACATCGGTTGTAGCCAATCTTGATCATATAGGAGTCAAACCGTTTATACCACTGTCTCGGAGACTGTTTTAACCCGCACAAAGATTTCTTCAATCTGCAAACTAAATGCTCGTTTCCAGGTTGAGTGAAACCTTCAGGTTGCCGCATGTAGATCTGCTCCTCTAAATCACCATGCAAAAAAGCAGTTTTAACATCCATCTGCTCTAAATGCAAATCCCAACTAGCCACCAATGCAAGTACTGCTCGGATTGAAGTGTGCCTGACCACAGGAGAAAAGATTTCATCATAATCAACTCCTTTCTGCTGTGAAAAACCCTTCGCTACCAAACGAGCCTTGAACTTCTCCCCCTCTTTTTCTGTTACTGCTGGTTTCTTCTTATACACCCATTTGCAACCAATCGACTTCTTATCCTCAGGAAGGGGAACTAACTCCCATGTGCGATTGTGATTCAAAGACTCCATCTCCTCAACCATAGCTGTCATCCACTTGTCGTTTTCCTGACTAGTAACGGCATCATGAAAAGTAACTGGATCATCACTGCTAACAGTAAGTGCAAAAGATACCAAGTCTTCAAAACCCAATCTGTTCGGAGGCTTTATATTCGTCCATCTCACCCTGTCTCTGGCGAGACTATAATCCTGCAAATCATCCGTAGTGGAACCACCAGAAGTCGGTTGAGAAGTTTCTGGTTTCTCAACTGGAAACTGCTCGAAATCTACCACTGTCGTGTCTTGCTTCTGCTGCAACATAGACTGTTCATCAAAAACGACATCTCTACTAATCACAACTTTCTTCGCAACTGGATCCCAGAACTTGAATCCTTTGACACCTTTCTTGTAACCCATAAAAATGCACTCCTTCGATTTTGCATCAAGTTTGGATCTCTCATCAGCAGGTACATGCACATAAGCAGGACAACCAAAAATCCGTAAGTTATCAAAACTAACATCATGACCAGTCCATACCTCTTCTGCAACTTTCCCAGCCAGCGATGCCCTTGGCGATCTGTTGATAAGTTAACATGCCATGTTAACAGCCTCAGCCCAGAAGTGTTTGGGAAGCCCCGCATTCAACCGCAAACATCTGGCTCTTTCATTCAACGACCTGTTCATTCGTTCCGCAACACCATTCTGTTGTGGTGTCTTGCGCACTGTAAAATGCCTCTGAATCCCATGCTCCTTACAGAATTGTAGGAACTGTGAATCTGTGTACTCCGTACCATTGTCAGACCGCAAACACTTGATTTTTCGTCCTGTTTGGTTTTCTACCTCAGCTTTCCACAGCTTGAACTTCTCAAAAACTTCAGATTTCTGTTTCAAAAAATACACCCAAACTTTCCGTGAAAAATCATCAATAAAAGTAACATAGTACCTAGATCCACCCAAAGACGATGTCGTGGAAGGCCCCTATACATCAGAATGCACATAATCAAGAATCCCTTGAGTTGTGTGCTTCGCAGTCTTGAAACGGACTTTAGTCTGTTTACCAAGAACACAATACTTGCAAAAATCGAGCTTACAGCTTTTGACACCATGCAACAAGTTTCTCTTGTGTAATTCTGTCATACCACGTTCACTAAGATGAGCAAGGCGCATATGCCACAATTTTGTCGTATCATCACAGGACTCAACAGAGTGAACTCCACCTGCAACGGTACTCCCTAACAATCTGTAGATATTCCCTGCAGTCATCTTTCCTTTCATCACAGTCAATGCTCCTTTAACAATCCGAATGGTTCCCTATCCTCGTCAGCCTTAGGGATAAAACCATTCTTGTGCAAAGTGCCCAAGGAAATCAAATTCTTCTTCAAGTCTGGGATATGTCGAACACCACTCAACGTCCGAACGGAGCCATCGTGCATCTTAATTCTGACATCACTAATACCAACAATATTGCAACATCGATCATCACCCAAATAAACCGAACCAGAATTAACCGGCCTGTATGTCGAAAACCATTCCCTATTTGGCGTGATGTGATAAGAACATCCAGAATCAAGAATCCAAGCATCCGTCAATTGTGTCGTTGAAATAGAAAGCATATCACCCTCACTGCAATCAGAAGTATCATCCTCGACCACGTTCACAGACTTGGATGAGCCATCACGCTTCTCATCAGTCTGCTTTTTCAACTTCGGACAGTCTCGCTTCATATGTCCCGCCTCCTTGCACTTGTAACAGTGAATCGTCTTCTTATCCCTGGATTTGGATCTGGAATTCCGCTTCCCGGACCCTGCCTTCTCTGGCTTCCGTCCACGATCTCGATTACCCTTGACATATAAGCTATCGGCTTGAGAGCTTTCCCCTGCATTCTGCTTCTGCTGGTTGTGAGCCAACAAGGCTGCAGTAATCTCCTCAACGTTGATAGTCTCTTTCCCATATGTAAGAGTAGTCACCATGTGTTCGTAAGAGGAAGGCAACGAACACAACAGAATCATCGCTTTGTCTTCATCCTCAATTTTCACATCAAGCCGAGCCAGATCAGAAACGATTTGATTGAAGACATTCACGTGTTGCGCCAAATCGTGATCGTCCTGCATCTTCAGCCCATACAACCGCTGCTTCAGATACAGTTTTGTCGTTAAGGATTTGGACATAAACTGACTTTCCAACTTCCTCCAAATTTCGTCTGGAGACGATAGATGCATGACGTGATACATGACCTCGTCCGCCAAGCATAATCGTATGGTTCCTACCGCTCGCTGTTGCAATTCTTCCCAATCTTCCTCATCCATCGACGCCGGCTTTGTAGGTCGCAAAGCCTTCAAGATCCCTTGCTGCGCCAATAGATCCTTCACCCTCGTTTGCCATAATCCGAAGTTACCCTGACCATCGAATTTCGTGACTTCGAATTTTGCTCCTGACATCTGATACCAATTGTTGACGAAAATGGGTAAAGAAAACGAAAGAACACGAGAATTTTATGAGGTTCGGCAATGTGCTTACGTCCTCGGTGCCTAGGCGGCGCTAGAATTTTATTCAATGATCTTTTAGGTCTAGGTTACATCTCTATTTATAATAGAAAACCCTGGTACATAATTACAAAATCAACCCTGTTTCTTCTTTTCTGTTTCTTTCCTGTATCGATTTAGACGAATTTTGGGGTTTCGATAAGGTAGACAGCATGTTGAGAGAGAGTAAATTTCTCTAATTTTTCTCACCAGGATCCTGCAGGCTTTATCTGCCTTGCTTGCTTGTGCTTGTCCTTTTGACAGGAGTGCCGAGAATTTAACGTAAATGGCACCGAAAAGTCATCTAAGATCATACGAAGTGAATCGTTGATGCCCTGGATCTTGGTGCTTAGGATACTAAGTTTACTAATGAGCATGGATGTCAGTTATAAACCTTGCACACTATGTCTGCGATGCCAGAATTGATGTTCATATATATTTCCATATCTATGTTCAAAACTTTTGTTACGTCGCATTGTGCAAACTACGCACCGTTACAGAAGTGCGAGTCGAGTCACTACAGATTTGAAATACGTTTCATGTAACGGTTTTCGTTGTCGGACAATTTACAGTCTTTTATCCCAGGTGTGAAGCTTTCTCGACATATCCTCGGACGTACGATCTCATACACGCAAATGGTGTATTCAACTTGTATAGTAACAAGTAAGCCTTCGCCCTAATACTAATACCTCAGTGGTTTGGGTACGCAAACGTAAAAAATCTCAAGTATATTTGTGTGTTTATTGTTGCAGATGCAGAGCTGAAGACGTTCTTCTGGAGATGGATAGGATTTTAAGGCCCGAAGGGGCAGTCATAATCCGCGATCGAGTTGACGTCCTAAACAAGGTAAGTAAAATTGCGGGAGGAATGAGATGGAATACACAAATGCAGGATCATGAGGACGGTCCCCTCGTCTCGGAAAAGATACTTTTTGCCGTGAAAATGTACTGGGTTGCCGGTGAAAACATCACGGCATCGACGGGGTGAGCGGATTATCAAGACTAGGAAGCTACGGAACGATGCTAACCTGAACTTAACTGCAATGAACTTGTAGTTAACCAAAGAAACTGATGGAAACTCCTATATGAACAGTTTGTGATCCTGCATCAGCATTCTCTGTAAATAAACTGATGGAAACTCCGATATGAACAGACTATATTCTCATGTATAATATATCGACAACAAAATCAATCGAACTAATTTCAGTTCTGTCCGATAACTTATTTTAATTTTTAAAGTACAATTTTCTCGGCAGTGTAGTTGTACTTTTGAGAGCTAAGAAGATTCTGTGTCCAAATATTAAAACGGATTGCCTTTCCCATATTACCCTTAGAAAAGGGTAAAATGACTATAATACCCTACTTATCCAGCCGTCAGATTCCTATTGATCCATTTGTAAAATCCAAAAATATCCCCCTAACGGAGCGGATATAAACTCCAAAACCCTAATATTTCATCACTCTTTACTCTCTCTCTCGCGACTTTGTCGACAATGAATTTAGGGTTTTAGCAGGAAGAGAAAACAGAGAGAAAGAGGTCAAAAGATAGAGAAGAGACTAATCTTTTAGCGTTTGATTTTTTTGGAAGATTTTTCTGTTTGGATTAAGAAAAACGAAAATGGTGGCTGATAAAGGGAAGAAGATGAAAGTTGCAGAGAAAGGAGAAGAAGAAAACTCTGAACAAATCGATGGAGAACTTGTCCTTTCCATTGAGAAGCTTCAAGAGATTCAAGATGAGCTTGAAAAGGTCCGTTTCTTTTATTTGCATTTTACTTTCATTTTATATATCCATGTGTGTACGTGCGCTGTTTTGGTTTTTGCTTCTTTGCTTGTTTATGATTTGTATGAAAAATTCAGGAAAATTTGCAGGCTGAAGTGATTTGTTCTCTTTTCTCCTTTTTTTTGTTAATTGTTTGAAGTGTCTAAGTATTGTGTTTTTATTAATTTCAATTGCGGATCAATGGAATAAATGTTTAAAATACTATTCATTCATGTGATTGTTAGTTTTTGTACCTGGTCTGTTTTAATTATTGTTCAAAGCTTGACTCGTTTTAATTGTTCTTTTCTGCGTGTTTAATTGTTCATCTTGCTTTTATTAAACATGCTTTTTGTGGGATACTTTAGGTTATTATATTGTGGAGAAGGTGATTTAATGATGATGTGTTTATGAGCTTATTGATGAAGTGGTAAATGATTACGCATTGGTGTTTCTTTATTTATTTCTTTTGTTCCTTTTGCGGTATGTTGTAGATCAATGAGGAGGCCAGCGAGAAAGTCTTGGAAGTGGAGCAGAAGTACAATGTGGTTCGCAAGCCAGTCTATGATAAGCGGAGTGAAATCATCAAGTCGATTCCTGATTTCTGGTTAACTGCTGTATGTGATTCTATTCTTTCCTATTAATATATGGGACTTTTTCTTACTGAAGAAAGTTTTTAAACTGACACATTTTTGACGTGCAGTTCTTGAGTCATCCTGTTCTTGGTGAACTTTTGACTGAAGAGGATCAGAAGGTTTAATGTCATTTTTTTTTGCAAAAATCAGTTATGCACTTCTTTTATTTTGCAAAATTAATTCCTTGTTTGGTTTTCCTTTCTTTTTTGTTTTCTGGACGTTTGCCTGATTTCTTTATCTTCTTTTCAATTATTTTTACTCGTAGATATTTAAGCATATTAACTCACTTGAAGTGGAGGATTTCAAAGATCTGAAATCTGGATATTGTATTACATTTGTAAGTTCATTTATGTTCTTCCTTTTTACCTTTTTGGTAGGCAATTGAAATTGATGGTCATTTCTTTTTCTTGCATTCAATTGCTGGTACAGAAGCAATATTAGTTCATGCTTTAATTCAATTAATTATGATATTTTCAGAACTTCAACCCCAATCCATATTTTGAAGATACAAAGCTTACAAAGACCTTTACATTCCTGGATGAGGGAACCAAAATTACGGCCACCCAAATAAAGTGGAAAGAGGGAATGGTGAGGGTGTCTCCGCTTATGATGTGCATGCGTCTTCTTGCCATTTGTATTACTTGATTATGATATAAAATTACTTTCCTTATACACAAAGGGCTTGCCAAATGGAGTTAATCATGAGAAGAAAGGAAACAAGCGCCAGTTTGCTGAAGAAAGGTTTATTTTTCTTCCCTGTCAATGAATTCTTCCTGTATCTTAGAACTTAGGCGAAAACTTCAGGTTGTGAAATGTAGTCTTGTATTTTAGCCTAGCATTATATAAGGTTCTCATTTTTATGAGTCATTGTCCTGTTTTATTGAGCCGAATCTTAACTGATTGAGATTTCATTTTACTGAAGACGAGTCTTCTATGTTAACATTGAGAATTGCAAAGCATCAAAGGGAAAGGGTATCATGTATTTTTTTTTAGTTTCCTATAAGTTGCATTATAACTCTACCATGCTAGTCATTTGCTGTGTTATAAAGTTTGCATCCATTTGTGCTGGTCTTATTTGATCCTTAGATTCTCACTTAACCAAGCTACAATTCAGACTATAACGTGCTAGCTTTCCTACACATATTTGCAGCTTCTTTACCTGGTTTGCTGATGCTCAGCAGAAAGATGACATGGATGAAATTCATGATGAGGTAAACTCTATGGGCATACCATCTATCTATATTTAGTTATGTATTTATGTTTTTTAAAGAGCTGGTCTAAGTTTTTCACAAACCATTACAGGTAGCAGAGATTATCAAGGAGGACTTATGGCCCAATCCTCTCACTTATTTCAACAATGTAACTTCTTTTTCGCCTGGCTTCTTCCTCTGATTTTGTTTAAATTATGTTTTGTTTTTTTTCTTATTGTTATTTGTAACTTCCTGATGTAGGAGGCTGACGAAGAGGATTTTGATGGTGACGAAGAGGTAGATTTTTCTTTTTTTTTTTTGAAAAACTTAATATATGCATTGGGCCTTTTCACTCTTACTCTGGTCTACTCTCCCCTCCCCTTCCCTCCAACCCCCAACCCACAGGGGCTTTTTAGATCAAAATTGCATGGCTGTTTGTGATCTTTGTTTAATTTTCATCAAAGATTAAGTTGTTTCTATTTTTTTGATAGATATGTGGGGGAGGAGTATAACTAGTACAATATTTTGAAATTAAAATATGAACTTTATCAATTGTAATATTTTGAAATTAAAATTCCTATAAAAAAATATTTTGAAATTAAAATATGAACTTTATCAATTGTACCTGGAACTGGTGATATTGATAACAGAATGTGAATATAAATTGCAATTACTAAGGTTTAGAGGCTTATCAAACAGTTGGAATCTGTCGATAATTTTCTCTGGGGTGGTTGTGAGTTAGTGACATTCGTGTGAGGCGTGCTTGCTATGTGAATTTGCTTTTACCTGCAGTTGGACTTTACATTTGTATCATGGGGTTTATGTACTATAACTAGTTCTACATACAATCTTAACAAATTTAGTTTAAGCTGGAAACTACAGTTTTCCTCTTAATAAACTAGAGTGATAGGGCTTCTTTACTATGTAGTGGATGTTGTAAGATGAAGGTTTGTTTTGGTAAGATAATTGCGCTGATTATACTAAGTAATGCAGAAGCCACCAATTTGCATTATGTAAATCTAGTAGCATGCCACAATTTCCATGTTAAACCTGGAGAAGTTGGTTGATTTGGGATAGTGTGAGTAGCTAGGTCGGTGTGTCTACCCCTGCAAACATGTATACCATGTGTTGGCCTTAATATACTTTGGGGTGAGTTTTAGACACATTTTGGGCATAATTCTTCTACCCACCAAATCAGTGAGATGGATTTGTGGGTTTTTTCTGCATGCACATGCCTTATAAATTACTTTAGATCGGTTTAGCTCTAAAACTCTTCACCGAGTTCAGCATTGTGTAGAGAATTAGCTGTTGTGAGATGAATGGTGTTTGACCAAGTTAAGATTCAAGATGAAGATATTTAGTCTGGAATGCCGATCAAAGAAGTAATTGATTTAATGGCATAACAGAAAATTTTGGAATTAGGTTGGAATAGCAATGGAGAAAAATTGTGGTGATTTGAGAGCATTATTTGCATTTTCCCTTTATTCTAGGAAATATTTCCATCTAGGTCATAGTTACTCTGAGTCTTTATTTTTCTTGACATATCTGTGTCAGACATGGATGCATATCTAGATATGGTTTGGGTAACATGATCCTCCAAATACTTTGAAAAGTTTAGAAGAAAATGAGCGTACCTATATATGATTACGCTCAAGTTCTCGAGTACTAGTTTGCCATTTTAGTATAAAGCTGTATTGGAATTCATGTCTGCTTTGGAATTGCCAGATAACTGTTTGTTTATTTACACTCGTCGTGCTGATGCATTCCATGACTAAATCACTTCTGTGCACGTTCTTAAGTTAGATTGATATGCATGTACGAATGAGTTGAATTGCATCGTTACCATTGAGCCCTACTCATTGCTTGAGGAGTAGGAATTTTGTTAATCTTCTTGTTAATATATTTTCTGACCATTGACAGGGAAAAGAAGATGACGACGATGATGAGGATGACGACGATGATGGTGATGATGAGGATTAACAAAATTGAGTGGGTGGCTTTAATTCTCTTCAGTTGTTGGGCTTGCTTTAGTATGAACTTGTGAAAAGCTGTCTCTGTGGTTTGCTAAGTAAGGTTCTGGGCAGGATGACCATCTTCAAAATAGCTTTCTTTTTGCTCATCTCTCTTTTATCTTTTATATCTATTTTTTATGTTTTTTTCCTGATCGGAACATGGAATGATAGGGATATATATGTATTGCACATTTTTAGAGTTTTATATATGCTTAATTTAATATAATATTTTATTTTCTATTTGCCTAAATTATGCATGTTTAGTTTTACGTAAAGAGAATTATTTAATAATTTGTTCAATGTGAAAACCTTTAACTGCTAATGTATTGAAAGAAGTCCTAAATCCACTTGAAATTACACGATTAGAACGATTGTATTATTAATGTGTTTTTAAATAAATAAAATTTATATAGATTAACAATAATAAAAAGGGTAAAGTATATAAATAGTCCTCAAACTTTTAAGGTGTTTACATTTTGGTCACTCAACTTTTGAAGCTTACAATACAATCATCAAATTTTTAGTTCGTTTTTAATAAAGTCTATGTCATTACTTTTCGTTAGTTTTAGTTGACATGACACTTAAATCATGTTAACCACTCATTCTTTTTTCTTCTTCTTCTTAACCAACGGTAGATGGAGGGGGGACGACAGGGTGAAGGCACGATCGACTGGGTTTTGGTCGAAACGGTGTGAGGACTCCAACAGTGGTGGCGATATGGCGAACGAATGGCCTAATCAGCCAAAAATTGATTAGAACAAAAAAGGGATGTTGGGGTTTTTCAATGAGATTCGGGCCCTCTCTACAACGAACAGATGTGAGTTTAAACAAGTGACTAGCAAGGTTTTGGTAGGAATGGGGCGACGCTCCTATTGGTACCCGCGATGGTGGTCATCAACGATTGATGACGGAGATCAGGGATGAGTGTTCGAACGATCTTCTTACAATTTGTAATGTACGGTGGACGGTAAGTATGAATCGAGGATTGGGGTGTGGTCGGGAGGTGATGTCGGTAACGATGGTGATGGTGGTACGAGCCACCGTTGATGGGAGGTATGTGTGTGAAAAGAAGAAGAAGAAGAAGAAGGGGTTAATGGGAGTTAAGTGTCACGTCAACCAAGACTAACGAGAAGTAACGCCAGGAACCTTATTGAAAACAAACTAAAAGTTCGATGATTGTATTAGAAGTTTCAAAAGTTGAATGATCAAAATACAAATGACCTAAAAGTTTGGGGATTATTTATATACTTACCCTAATATAAATCGATGTTTTATATGTTTAGTACTTCAGTAATGAACTCAACTCAAGCACTCATAGGTGGTATTTGGTATTGGGATGGATAATTACTCCTAAACCCACGGTAATCTACCTACGGGACTCTATTATTCTTGAAGATTTTAATAGAACCTGAACATTATAATATTTTACAAGTATAGAAAGATATTTTGTACGTATAGAAAAGTGATTACGAAAATTTTTCATTAAAAAATGCATTAGGAGTGTGAAACTAATTTACGCGAACGCTTTGAAAATTTTTAACATAGATGTGTTCTATACTATTTACGTTATGTTCCCAACTGAACTAAACATCCAAGTTTACAATTAGGATGACGGAAAGATTAGATGAATATGATTGGTTTTGGTGTTATTGGAGGTGTGTTCCGCTCTAGTGATGGGGTTGGATGGGATCGTTGAATTTTGAAAAGTTATAGGTATCGTCATGTATCTTCAAGTCGTTATGGAACTTTTACATTGGTCTTTAAGTGGTATGGACTGTACGAAAACTGTGAAGTTTATCATTATTTTGAGCGTAGATTTCAACTCTTTTTTACTGATGAAAGTTATTTATACTATACGAAATTAAGTCTAATTTATGAAGTTACTTTAGATCCCACGAGAGTATAATATGGTAATTGACTGACTCACGAGAGTATAATATGATAATTGACTGACTGACGAAGATGACCATTCTTGATTAGTATCGAGTTTCACTACTTGACTCAATACCACCTGACATTCAATTGCTTGTTTCAAGGAATATATTTAGACCTTTGTATTGTAGAATTGTTCGGAGTTAAATCATTGGCTTGAAGTCATCTTCCAATTCATTTTTTTTATTTAAGTAGAAAATTTTAAAATTTTTGAGGACTACTTCAAAACCAGGGCTATAATGTGGGGACAATGGGGTGTATTTAACCACGCCCACTTGTCTCTGGCATTGACTTGGAGGACTCTCTGTCATGCGGCTGTCTCTATCATTCGCCCTCCGGTTTCATTATCTGGCAGTGCCGTCCACCCCTCTCGGAGCAACCCTTGCCATGGACAACAACCATCACCACCACAACCGCCGCACTACTAACAGCAGCGTCGAATCCGACCCTCGCGTACGAAAACTCCAACAACTAATTAAAACCATTCCATCTGGTAATTGTCCTTTTAAACTCCAACAGTCACATATTTGTATTTGTATAGCTAATAGGTATTCTTTCAATCTTTTTTTCCAAGTAAATAATGGTTTTGCTACATTGGCTCTGTTAATTGAATGTAGCTTTTCACTGGGGAAGATGACAACTCATACACCATTTCATGATTGTCTTTCATCTTGATCTTTAGTTGGTTGGGACGAGTCCTGGAATCAGGGATTCACCCCTTGGGATTTAGGTCGCCCTACGCCTATTATTTTACATCTGCATGACACTGGATCACTCCCCATGGGAAGGGCTCTCGTTCCTGGATGTGGCACTGTAAGTTGTAATTCTCTGCAATATGCCTTGTTGCTTTAAAAAAAACAGCTTCATGCTCAACGCAAATCTGTGCAGGCTTTACTTTTTCGCAATCAATTGTTAAAATTATATTTGATATTTCTTAACTGATTTATATGGAATAAAGTACTGCTCAAAATATGCAGGGCTATGATGTGGTGGTAATGGCATGCCCTGGACGCTATGTTGTTGGTCTGGACATATCAGAGGAGGGCATAAAGAAAGCAAAGCAGGTTAGTGAGGTCTTCGCACTCAGGGATGGACACAAAATTTTATGTTAGGGGTACGAAGCTCTAGGAAGTATATAAGAAATTTAGAGGGTGCGAAATTAGATCATTAAAAGAAGATACTTAAATTATATAGGAATTTGAATTTTCCAGGGGGTTGCGACTGGCCCCAACACCCCCTCGGTCCATCCCTGTTTGCACTCCTCCCACTTTAACAAGTTCCTTAGAATGGTAATAGTTGCTCTGATTTTAGGTATTTTTGCTAGTTATAGTCTTTCTGAATAATTTCTTATTCTGATGTAATGTTTGGTTGTCAATATAGATGTCTTGCCCGTCACCAAAAGCAGATTATTTTACTTTCTTGAAGGAAGATTTTTCCTCCTGGCGCCCAACAGATATGTTTGATCTTATTTTTTGATTACACGTATGACATCTTTAAGGGGGCAGTTATCCCATTTGGAAAATCTCTCGATCATCACAATCTTATGAATTTGCAGTTTTTTTGTGTGCCATTGAGCCTGATATGAGACCGGCATGGGCACAGCAAATCCAAAACCTTTTAAAACCAGATTAAGAGCTTATTACACTGATGTTTCCAGTAAGCATTTTTCTTTGTGGTTTTATGAATTATTCCTTTTCCTCATCTCCTCATTGAGGGACCTTTATTTTCAGTTCAGTTATTCTTTACCAATTATAACTAGCTATGTTTGTAAAAGAAAACATTCTGCATAATTTATGGTAATTTGAAGTGTGGTTTTGCTCCTCTACTCTTTACAGTGTTGCTAAAAGTAAAAATATATTTCCTTGATGGCAGATGGACGATCATGCTGGTGGACCCCCTTATAAAGTAGCAATTGAAGAGTAGTTTTCTTCCACCTTTTTTTCTTCTGCTTTTATCTAGATTATGTTAAAAATATTTTATAATTCTGTTTCCATGCCATTGCTAGTAAAATCTTGATCGAATAGGGACATATATATGTATGTATGTATATATATATATATATCTGTTGGCACGAGAAGATCCATCTCAATCTGTTGGAACTTTGTAATCATGCAGCTATGAAGAGGTGCTTCATCCAATGGGGTTTAAGGCAATATCCATTGTTGATAATGAATTGACCATCAAAGCTAGAAAGGTATGTTAACTTGTTTTTACTTTTTAGTCAATAAAATTCTCAGTCTGAGGTTGCAAAAGCTATACTGTAACTCATATGAAGCTGTAATTCGAATTTGAATGACGTGCTCTGAATATTACAATTTCAGAAAATTAGCAACCAGCTAGATGGTTCCACAGTATATATATCACCTTTAGCATTCTTTGTCGTAACGCAGCATAGAAGAAGCTTGGAAGAAAGGACATTCATAGGGAAAAGCTTCTCATAGTTTCCATCTTCCAAGCTTCTCATAGATGAAGCAAATGGAGATATTGCAGTTAAAAGAAAGGGAAGAAAGCAAGAAACATTCTTTGTCGTGTCCTTAATTATCTGCTTCATAGATAGAAATGTCCCGCCTCGCCATCCTCCCTTTCAGAGTATAATACTTGTGGCCAGTTACTCACTGTTACCTTGCCTCAGTACTAGGTTCTTGTCGGACTGATCACTTTGAGTGTTATTTCTTAAAGTTTTCACTGGCTTTTCTGGACTTGTATGCTGCGGTTTGCTGCTTCCCCTTGGATGCACTATGATAGCCATTAATGGTAACTATGAGAAGCTTGGAAGATGGAAAAGAGTTGTAGGCAACTCCTCCCTATGAATTGAGATAATGGCTAATGGAGGGGCCGTACCAAGGGGTGCTTGAGCTCAAGATCAAGGACACTTAATTTCATTTACAATGTTCATCTGAACCGGAACACTTTGCACATGATAGTTCATGTTAATACAATATTTTCATTCTACTTTTTAAGTGTATGAAATCTTGTATTTTTCGTTTGTAATAGGAAATAATTCTGTTTATTTTAATTCTAGGTCACTCAATTATTAATCTGGTTACAAATGAGCCATTTTTTTCTGTAGAAGATGCAATCCTGTCATTCAATTAAAATATTATTATAAATAGGTCATTAGCCATTACATATTAGTTGGAATAAGTCTTCAAAATTCATGTATTTTTATCAATTTGGTCTTAATAGTTTCAGATTTAACGACAGAATGATACATTTTTTTAATATTTAAATTAAATAATTAAATTGTAACTTTAAGAAAAAAATAATCCATTTATAATGGAACTAACAATATGAATATGAAACT